ACCAAATCCTTATTTTTCATTCAGCAGGAGTCAAGAGGTCAGCATGGTTGCAATTTTTCCCAGCTTGCTCGCCACCACTCGCTGCTTAAAGGCAGCTTCGTGATCATTCGGGCAGGGAAGTCTCAACAAAGCATTCCATGAGGGGTGTTTGCAATATCCCACGCGCGGTGCATTATAGCATCACATCAAAGCAATGTGGCGATACATTACGAGTGCACGTGCGTGATCAGGGTGGTTAAAAATTAACTATCCACAAACGGAGTGCAAACGTGTGGAATCCTTGACATCCGTAAAAAGCGTCATCCATTCACAGGTTAATTATAACGAGATGGTGGCAAGTTTGAGTGGGACAACGCATCGCTCATACGTTGAAGTTTGAACAACAAAAAAGGTCACCTTCAACAGCACATAGCAGAAGCGTGCAGAACAATTTTAGCTGAGACGTTCGTGAACATCCTAGAACAACCAAAATCTCGATAAGATGTGCATCACCAGCACCATGGTGGCCCTCATCCAGCAGTGGATTGACGTAACGGACCGTGCGTGCATGTGTTGAGGCCCTCTGTGTGTTTGGCAGCAGGCAATATATATGTCGATGTTAAATGGCACTCATGAACATCACCGATATTTTTTCAATGGTCTTGAAGACCTCGTCCTTTAGGTTAATAGCCAAGTGTTGTTATGCCTGCTTGCCATTGAAGTAGCAAGTCTCTACACCTGTCAACCCCTTATCAGTGCCTACCTTATTACAGACCAATTCAGACCTTATTGGTCACCCCGTGCCCTTATAAATCTCAACGTTCATCCAACAAAGTCCCATCACAAGAGAGAAACACAAACAAATAGACAAAAAAAATTGCCCTATTGAAACGGCTGTACGCCGTATGCGCCTGAAAACTCAATTTCCCTGTAAAAGAATACTGGGTAAACCGTCTGGGTTTACCGTCTGGGTTTACTCGGTGACGTGATTCGCAGAAGCGGGTTATTGTGCAATGACATTTGGGAGGGAAGCACTGAAAACACAGCTCTCACAATTCGTATGTATGTCGGGGCATCACGGTGGCGAGATGTTAACTACCTCGCCTCGTACACAGGAGGTCATGGGTTTGATCCCGATCCTGACGCCTGTATAATTTGGAGTTTGCATGTTCTCTCCGTGGTCACGTGGATTTTTGTCCGGGTCCTCCGGTTTTTCCCTCCACATTTAGAAACATACCTTTAGGGTATTTGGGTGCTATACATTTCCACATGATAAGCACCTCATGAAAAAGAGCTATAGAGCTCAGTGGGCCTTACCTGCTAAAATAAACAGTTTAGTTTAGTTTTGTATGTTGAACTTATTTTGCACCGTACGTAGCCAACCGTGCAATTTGGAGATGCGGGGGAAGGACAACAAACTAAACACAAAAAGCAGGTCTAAAAAAATTGGTTTTCAATCTAGATGTAAAAGTGCGTAGCTCCAGTGGCTTTCTTGGATGGCCAGCCAAAAGCTGCTGCGAGGATGATGGTTTCTGCGTGATGATTTAAACTAATTTGCTGGGCACGCAACTGCACATATAAATGGCTGAATGGATGTGTGTGGGTTCAATTCCTGGCCATGCACATCAGTGACAAGTGACATGTGAACATATTCTGGGGCCACCCCAAGTATGGCTCAGGCTTAAAAACGAGTCCCTCCTGTTGTAGTGTGTACACTTCAGCACTGGGGAGACAAAAGTGAGTTAATAGCTGCTCGCTAACTGCACTTGACCTTGTAAGTTCATCAAGTTAATTTGAGATCTTCCTTGTGCACCTTTGCGCATGCGTGCAATATGTGCACGCGTGTGCGTTTGCACAGAGCACACATGCACACATTGGACTGCTCTTGAAACGTTACCCAGGAATCTTACGTGTTTGCATATGTATTACAATTCTGGGAGGAAGGTGCTTTCCGGGATTGAATTGATGAATGCATATGGTAATTGGAAAAATGCATTATATCTTGAGGCGCCTTCAATTCCATCGCACGTTACATGAAAGGCAAGTGTTGCTTTGATTGGCAAGTCAACAGCAACACAATTACCATAAATAAAACCCGGCTTCGCAAAATGTCAGAGTGAAATGCTATCTCCCGACTCCGTGCTATCTCCAGACTCTAGCATGGCAGGCAAATGCGTAATGAGCACGAGCGAGAGTAGACGCGTAAATAGATGTAAGAATATTAAAATGAACATTCATTAAGCGCGATGGGCAAGGGCGTTGTCGTGGTGTAATGACTCGCGCTGGCGCACTGGACCGCACCTCCGATTAGTACGGTGCCAAAGAAGTTCAGCGTACGTACGTAGAGAGGGGTCGCTGGTACGATTTGAGTTGAAAAAAATGGCGCAGGTTTCTTATATCCTCACCTCTGCCTCCGTCCACCCGGCAGCGTGCATCCGGCCGCCACAATTAGTTAGGTCACATGTGGTGGGCTAATAAAGTGTGGCTATACTCCCCATCTCTTCCAAGACGTCTAACCACCGGTGAACGAGTAGGCCAAACTACCCTAAAGAGGAGTGGGGGGGGGGGTCTGACGTTCGCTTGAGTGGAGGAACCTTCCATCAGCAGTGGCATGAGCCAGAACTTTTAGAGCTGCGCTTTTACCTCACTCCGAGACAGGCAACGTGTAGAAGTACAATAATAATGGTAATTATAATAATATAATTAGCCGTGTATATTTTAACTGTGTATGACAGTTAGAAGTATGGAGAGAATGGGAAGATTGCTTCAGGCATTGAGATCAGTGGAAGTGAAGAAGCGCCCACATTATTGCACAATAACGGACATTGTTTGAGTTTGTCAATGTGATAGCACACGAACGCCAATTCTATGCCGACCATCACTTCATTGCGGCATGAGAATAGCATGCAATATCGACAGGATTAATTCACTGATCTATTGCTGCGGAATGAAAATTCAATCCCGGAATCGCCGTATTTCCCCCAGATGACTCGTGTGCTTGGGCAGATGACATCCATATAATGTTTTCAAATATAAAAATTCATGAAAGGCGTTGGGATTTCACTTTTACTTTGCGCATCAATCAATTACACCGACTGCAAACCGTGCTTGAATTTCAATTAGCCACGTGTCAGCGCTTGCCAGGGTGAGTACCACACGGGCTTGATTTTGGCGAGAGAGAAAAAAACCTAACGAACGTGGCCGTGAAAAGGTGAGCAACAAAGGGTATGGAACATATGATGGATGGGGCAGTTAGTGCAAGCCTTGCTTAACACTCACTTAACAAGCAAGACGGCTGGACGTGCTTCCTCCGAGCGGAGGGATTTGAAGGACACTGTTTTGGAAAAGAAATGTCACCGCTGTCTCCGCATTATATCGACATTCCTGCATTGTGCACGGCTCGAGAACCGAAGAGGTGTACGCTCAGCGGGACTGAGGGCTGATGGAGATTCGCAATGGATAAGGCACGGATGTGGATGAGTAACGGGTGTATAATATGAATGTCGATCATTCAATCGATATTTTTTTGGGGAAAGAGCCTCTCACGAGAAGGTTGCCTCAAAGCAGTTTACAGGAAACATTTTATGCAAATGAAAACCACAAAATATTGTAACATGGATATGTCAGAGAAAGTAATCACGAGAAATAAGTATGAAAACGCTGTAAGAACAACACTTAAGAGCGATACTATCCAAACGGCCGTTGTTGATGACGACAATGCCAATGATGAAATGAAAGAGCAATGCGAATGGTGATCCTGATTATAGGGGCCCGATGATGATAATGGTGGTGGTGGTGTTGCTCCGTTAATGGAACCACATGTCCAACCAACATTCATCCACTCACTCATTGATGCGCTCTGTCAATGCGTGACACACTCATCCACCATCACGCCTAGTCATCCATCATGCCATTACAGCCTCGACCCACTCACGCCGCTACAAAGCGACGGCCGCTAAGCTAACAGGGAGCCACTTAGCGGGCGGGAACTGAAGAACGGTGACACAACCGCAAGATGATAGCGACTTTAATACGAAACCATTACATGAACTAAACCATCATCACGCGAACTCCGGTCATTCTCGCAGCGGCTTTTAGCGAACCATCGGACAAAGATGGTCACCGCATCGTGCGCTTTTAGTTGCGCTTGAGTTATGCACTTTTAAATCTCGATTAAAAACTAATTTCTGGAGAACTGCTTTTTGTGTTGGGTTTTCTGGCCTTCCTCCGCACCTCCGATTGGCACGGTTGGCTACGTACGGTGCAAAAAAAGCTCAACATACGAGCATGCATGCATTGAAACAGCTTTATAAGTAGAAGATATAAATCACAGATGTGTTTGTTTTTAAACCTATTTTGGCCTAATGGAAAAAAAAACAATGTTACGTTTTCCCATTATCTTGGCATCATCATTGGAACTCAGCCAGTTTGACTCATGAGAACTGCCTCATATACGATCCTCTGGAAATAATGCTATGTTCCCACGAATACGAGAAACAGACCTGGGACACAGTGGCCTAATCCAGGGATGGCTAAACGTGTCTCAATGCTGTCCCGATGCTTCTAGAACCGTGTGGTTGTATGCGCGTATGTTGAACTTCTTTCGCACCGTACGTAGCCAACAGTGCTAATCGGTGGTGCGAGCGGTTGTGTGCACTTCGTACTCCCCACTTCCTACGCCCTGCCCCATCCTTACCCTATCTATGGCCGAAGGGAAGTTGACCTATGGGAGAGATCTGCCATTGAGCACACATATCCCCATGCACTTTAAACCCGCGATGTCACAACGATTTTCCAGGGCGGCCCAGAATTAAATAAATAACTCGCGTGGCTTCCTTAAATGCGAGGCACATGACCCCCGGGGCCGGTGCGGGCTTAGCCCAGCAGGCTTGCCGTGGAAATCCGGGCCCAGATCGCCAAACCTGGGCCCGGGGCTTCCCCCTCAACCAGCGGTGGCGGTGGGCACGCAGCACGACCTTGCGGAGGCCCCGCGGTTGCCCTGCGGGGGGCGCGGGCGTTACCGTATGATGTCGACGTGGCCGTTCTTGGCGGCGAGGTGCAGCGCGCTGGTGCTGTTGGGGTGGCTGGGGTCGTGGGGACGTCCCTCGAGCAGCGTGGGGCACACGTTGCTGCTCAGCAGCAGCTTCACCACCTGCGCGGGGGAGACGGGCACGGACCGTGAGGCCGGGACGGGCGGCGCCGGTAAGACGACACTCGTCGCGTCCAGCTGCCCCCCGGAGGCTCGGCGGTTTAACGAAGCTGCTTTGTCTTTTGCCGCGTGAAGCCCAACGAGCGGTTAGCTTGTATTTTTCCGAGGTGGCCTGGTTGCACGTGATGGCTTATCTAAGCGGCTTTAGAGCATGTGGGAATTCAGAGTAGCAGCCAAACACGGATATGAGAAAAAGGTCAGATCCGTGAACATCTACGGAAAATGAAAGTGACACGGCGTACAAATATGTCACTGGGCAAAAGCAAGGTGCATACTGCCGCATGACTTTGATCGCCCGCACCTCCAATTAGCACGATTGGGGCACCACGGTGGCGAGATGTTAACTACCTCGCCTGGTATCCAAGAGGTCGTGGGTTCGATCCCGACCCTGACGCCTGTATATTTGGAGTTTGCATGTTTTCCCCGTGGCCATGTGGATTTTTCTTCGGGTCCTCCGGTTTTTCCCTCCACGTTTAGACTCAACATTGCGCGTTTCGAGTATTTGGCTGCTATAAGTTTCCACATGATAAGCCACTTGATTGGGCTGTCATTTGTGGCCATGTTGCATCTGAAAACGAACTTTATAGCTCAGTAGGCCTTACCTGGTAAATATAAAATAGTTTAGTTTGGAAAGAAGTTGAACATGCCATACATATGTTAAACTGTCAAATTTGTGAATGTCTATAGAAGATTACAGTAATGCCATCCACACATACTGTCAGCGGTTAATTGTTCTGGGACAATGTTAGGTAGTTGGACATGCAATGGTGTACTGCAAACGTATGCATAAAATCGAAAGTTGTTCGTCCATTCATCTGTTCATTCATCCGTCCGTTCGTCCGTTCATCACTCGGATTTAAAATGAAAAATCTCTCTTCCCAAGCACAGTCATTTTATTCTAACGACCCTGACACAATTCCAGGGGAGGAATGGTGTTCGGGGTGGAATAAGTGCAGAGGAGTGAGGGGTGGGGTAGATGGAGTCTCGGGGAAACGATCCGTGAAGATTTCACATCCAACAGAAGGCAGTAACTATTTAATTTCATGCAGTACAACCATTAGATTCTCTAGTAAAAAAAATAATATAAACCATGTTAATTTCTCTAAACATTTCAGAGCCTCTAGTACCATTTCCACTTTTCCATGGTGGGGACCAGTCTTTTCATAGGACGACCCCTGTTGGGTCCCAGGGTTTGACTCGCAATAAAACGACCGCAAGATCAATTGGGGTATACACGAACATGTACCGCCCCGTTTTGTCAATCCACCGATGGATGAGGGCCTCTCATAGCCGTGCGTGTCCCTGGGAGTTATTTGACCGTACTTCACCACGATAGATCAGTACGGAATTGGTCGCCCACCATCCAAGCACAATTACTGGCTCAATTCGTGCTTAACTTCCAAGATGTGATTGGATGTGGGGTGCATTCTGGGTGAATTGGGTAGACGGCGATGTCCTGCGGTGTGAGCGCACCGCGGTACAGGGTTAACCAGCGGCAAAGTAAGGTTACAAATAAAGGAAAGTACAAGGGTTAACAGATGATTACCACAAAAAAAATTTGAAATTAAATAACGGAGACACGGGTTGTTTAGTCTTATTTTTAACCTTCTAGCCTACATTTAATAATGCTAATTTCTCCTCCCGGGCAAGTGTCTCTCGCGCGCGGAGAGAGGAGGGCCGGAGCACGCAATTGCTGCTGCTGTTAGTCCCCATCGTGGCCAGCATGCGGGACATCGTTAGGGCAACCACTCTGTGGCCTGGCTCAAGTGGACACCGCCCCCCCCCCCCCACCGAGAGTGATTTCCCACTCAGCTGAGCGTGCGGCAGCACTCACTCACATCCTGTTTATTACAGCCCTGAGCTCGAGGTGGAAATTCCACGCTCTAATGGTGGGTCGAGTCTGTCCGTAGGATTTCCGCGGTTGACTTCTACCACGAAGTGGTACTAATTTAAAATTGATAAAAATAAAATAATAAAATCACGACGTTTCGGAGGCAACACAGCAAATCTGGCTGCTGCAGCAAATCTGGCTGTGACTGGTCCCACCTGATGACGGAGACTTGTGTTGCCTCCGAAACGTCGTGATTTTATTATTTTATTTTTATAAATTTTTATTTAATTTTTTACTTACGTGACTTTACCGAAAGAACTACGAGTATGAATCCTTGCAGTCACGAAAGCTTCAAATCTAAAATGGTACTAATTTGATTGGCCCCCGAGCGATGTCATGAAAGGTTGAATCAGTTCTCAGCCCCGCCGTCGCCCTCCCCCAATGATTGCAAGCCAGACACTCTACCACCGAACCACCCGGCTGGCTTGACATACCATCACAGGGCACTTGGTGATGATGGCCAGGTAATAATCTTTAAGCAACTTAGGTAAGACCATTGGTACCTCATTTGCCAGTAAAAAATATGATAATTGGTTTTTACCCTTTTATTTGGCAACAAAACTGACACCTTTTTTACGAGGAGTCATGTTTGCATAGACCACAATACTTGCAGTCATAATGCAAACAAAAAACATAACTCTGATAATGTATGCATTGTCCTTGAAGACTAGGCTCTAAGGAAAGCTGTCTCGGGTGTGGACCAATCAACTTCAAGGACAGTGCATACATTATCAGAGTTATGTTTTTTGTTTGCATTACGACTGCAGGTATTGTGGTCTATGCAAACATGACTCCTCGTAAAAAAGGTGTCAGTTTTGTTGCCAGATAAAAGGGTAAAAAACCAATTATCAACTTAGGTGAGGTGCAGATGCACGGGAATTGAACCCAGGTAGCCTGCAGGTGAGGAGTGCTACTTCAGAGTGTACTATCCACTGAAATACTAACACACTACCGCTCCCCATGCGCACATGCCCAAGCATACATCCATGCGCAGTAAAAAATAATGATAATAATAAAAAGGTCTTCAAGCCGAGCCAGTATAAAATCAATCCAACGCAGCGGAATATTCAATATCGAGAGTAATTTATTGCAATATTTCTCATTACTCGAGTGTGGTAATGATGAGTGTGTAATTTCTCCGTCGGTGAAAATAACGAAATTGTTAGCTCGCTCGTATTCGGGTGACTGCATGAAAGGACCTTCAGAAAATGTAGAATTAAATTTTCATTCAGTTGGGTTTCCCATATTCGTAAGACACTTTCTCAGGTCACCGAGGCATGTACGGAATAGATACGCAGTCCGTTAATAATACAAGGAGATCCTTCACGCTTGCCCATAACCCCGAGGAGATGTAGTCCTCGCGGTCACACGGGAAGAAAAGAAAAAGCTTTTCAACAGTCACACGACACGAAAATTATTCAATCGTGCCGAAAGAAAATAATTTACAAACGTCGCCACCTGTCAAACTATTACTCGTGTGAGGCTTCGCAAAGCAGCGATTGTACTTCGCTAGACATGCATACGTTGAGTTCGACTATGTCCAAAATCAGCTTGCTCCTGCCCGATTGTTAAAGACTGGAGACTCGGCGAGGTTTTGCTTACGTTAAATAAAGGAATGATCATTACCCCCGTGCCATGAAGGGAACGTTAAAGACTCTGAATTTATTTGCAGGGCTCGGGCAATCTGATGGCCAACATTCTGCTTCATGTGAAGTGTAAGCACAATCAAATGTCGCGCAATTAAGAAAAATATTTAGAAAACAGGGATTCTTTTTACGTGCTTTCCAAGATAAAGGCTCTTTGTTGTGTTTAGCAATTGGCTAAGGTACATCATGACGAATAGGCAATTGGCTAATGGGCAATTGGCATGGATATAAGGAATAAATGAACGTGAATTATATCGGTTCCTTTGTAGTACGGAGCGAAGAGAGCTTTTTTTTGCTCTGCCACTTTGAAACTCCCTCCTGCTGAATTATTGACATTTGTTTTGTACGCAAAGTGATAATAAAGCAAAGCGAGCGAGCACACGCGAAGCGAGAGCGCCTGCGAACGTGCCCGCAGCCCGGAGTTTCTAATCGCAATTTGATTGGAATCAAAACTCACGACGCCTCGGCTGGGTGCTCGTGGAAGAGGGAGCGAGGGGGGGGGGGCAGCGGGGGTGGTGGGGGGGGCGAAGTAAAAACCATCGTGCGCCTCGCAAACTGTCGCTGTCGGAACGGAGTCCTAATGAGGGAACAACGAGCGTGCGTTGTTCATCAATTCGCACACCAATTTGTGCGCTCGCTCAACAAGCAAAGGGCAAAGTAAATAAAAAAACAAATCCGCGCTTGTTCTGTTGCGCTGATTTTTCCCCACAACTGTTACTTACACTCTGCCAGGTTAAGGTTTTTTTTTTAATGCATGTGTAGACATGTAATATGTATATTTCGAGGCAAGCGAGCGGTATCATTCAGCTACGCGCGGGGAACGGTGCTGAATGCACAAATTTGTTTCAATTATTCAGCGTAGCCTGGTTTGGTTAATAACTTATTACAGCATCATATTTGAATGTTAGAAAAAAAAATATACACATGGATTGATGTGCGCGGTGCCACAGTGTTTCGCGCACGGGGCTATGAACCCGGCGAATGGCGCGAGTGATATTCCTCAACTGGCCCTGCCCACCCCTGTGCTGCCCGGCCTTCACCAAACCCTCGCCAACGGCCGAATGGCTCTCTTCACGGCGTTTTCCCATCGCCGATCGTCTGACGCCGGACACGCGTGCCACGTTCAGAATGAGCCAGGTGACATTGCGATTAACCCTGCCAAGAGCCAATGTTCACGCTATTTTTTGTCCGGTCATATACGTCTTCATCATCAGCATCATTGTCAGTCCAATGCTGCACTGCACCTCATTTCGACGTCCCCCGATTGACCGTCGTCTCCCGCGACGCGATGAAATTCCAACGTGCATTTACAGAGCATCCAAATGCGACGGCTTCTCTGGAGACCAGAAACAGCGGGCCGTGCACAGTCCACGGCTGCCCTTAACGGGTATTATTGGGAGAAGAAG